AGTAGGTCTTTTACAAATCGCTCGCTGTATGCCTGGTTCTCATAGCTATGCAAGATGCCAAGGTCTGCTCTGTACATTGAGTCTGACTATCATTTATTGGCCCTTCCATGTAAGTTATTGAAGTTAGTTAATATAATTTAAAATAACATTATATTTGTTTAATTATTGTAAAGCCTAAAATGATGGAATATATCTTACATGAACCTCCATTTGATCTTGATGATAACTCAATTGAAGAACTAGATCTTAGTATTAAACAAGATGAATCATATGAAGTTCTTAAATTTAATCATCAATCATTTAAAAAGATGTAAGAAATAATTAATATATCAATTGAAGAAGCTGAATATGAAGACTATGAACCTTTTGAAAGTAATGAAGCAGAAATGCAAAAAATATTTGAAGAAATTGATCTATTAGTATCTGCACCTGACAAAAATACCATATTTACAAACTGTGTTATTATTGATAATGATAATAAGCAAAAAACAATTAAATGATGTAATAGAACAGGGGTTCGTTGTGTAGAGCAGCTATGTAGTACATGGGAAATTGACTCTCAGGCTATAAAGAGTATTGATAAAGAGGTTTTGAAGCTAGATATTTGTTTGCGCCATCTTAATTATGACCAAAATACTTTATATAAACCTTGGGGAAGATTGCGTGTAAAAGCAGTATGAACAATAGAGGAAATTATTATTAAATTACGTCGCTATTTATTTTGTACTAAATTTAAATACTTTATTACAAGAGAAAAAACATGTTCATACTTATCACATACATGAAATGTATGCAATAGAACAATTCAAGTACCATGTCGTGGACTGCTTTGTTGCCCAGCCTTTGTTGAATATAATGAGCTATCAAAAAAATCATCTGATGATGATAACCCTTGGTTTATTTGTACAAACTGCTTTGAAATACATAGAGGTCATCTGCATATCTAGCAAGAAGCAAGAATAAAGAAAAAGCCATTTTTATATTAAAGTTAACACAATTCTGATACTACATTTGCTTTAAAGTTGTTTAGTAAATAGATTGAGCAGGTTGCTGTGTTTGATGATAAAACTGTAAAGACCAATTTGCTAGAAAAACTTGTTAATATTCTTAATCCTACTACAAACATAAAAGAAACACAAAACACAACATCTTCTACTATTATTATAGTTTTTAGTCTTTTTTTAATCAATATAGTATTTGCACTTAAAAAAATTAAAATTAATGAAAGAAGAACAATCAAAGCAATTAAAAGCCACTACATGTAGAGATTTTGAAAAACTACTTGCCTTTTCAGTATTACAAGAACATTCAAAGTTTAAACAAAAATTAGTATTACTTGAAGTACCTGAATCTTTAGATGAATACTATAATACTATGCCATTGCCTCTTATAAATTTTTTTACAGGCTTTATTACAGCTATAAGAGAAAAAAAAAATCAAATATTAACTAAAAAATGAAAAGAACGAAACCTGCCTCCACCTCTATTAAATAAAAAAAAAATCAAACTATGTACTCTTTTTTTTTCTTCAGTATTACTAACCTTTACATATCGCTATTTGAAAATATAGTTTACTCATGTACTTTCTTCACTTTGTCGACAACCAAACATGATTGGATCTTTGTATAAAATTCTTCATACAGTTGGGGTTGTATCGTATATTAGAGATTATGAAGTATGTCTTCAAAAAAAAAGAATGCTAGCTACAGATCCTCGACTAATACTTGATTTATGTTCAAATATGCTAAATTTTGCAATTATAGATAATATTGATATGAAAGACAAAACTTTTCAATATGGTAATATCTTTGACGTACCTTTTACTACTGCACATACAACTTTAAGAATAGTAGTTTAATTTCAATATCCAGAATTTGCTAACTTAGATGAAGATTCATTAGAAAATCAAAACCTCTTTGGTATAAGTTCTATAATAAAAAAATGGCAACAAAAAATTAATGCAGTATTTAATCGATTAATTAATCAAGAGTATGAATTTGGTGTTAAAGATATTAATAAATTAATTAGAAAACATTTTAACTTAGTAATATTTTTAGTATCACCAAATGCTGTGATTCTTGGACCAGAAGATGCCCCAAATAAAAATGAAAATGTTTATTGAGCAGTTGACTTATTTCTAGAAGACTTTGGTTATACAAATATTAAATTTAGTATGTGATGAAGCAATATATTGCCGTATAAAAGACTACAAAAGTGAAGATCAAACAGTGCATTGTATTTTAGGGCAGTGGCACACAAATAAAGCAATGTGTAGTGCATTAATTGCTGTCTTTTCAGGTTAAGGTTTGTTTGGACTTGCTTCACAGCTTGGTGTTAAATTTCTTGACAAATTTGAAAAAGTTGTTGATTATCGAGCAACATTTCGAATACTTGAGCTTTTTTGGGCAGCAGTTGGAGTTGCAATTCATCTATATTTTCAGGAAGCAAATATACCTAGTGAAGATATTTTAACAAACAACAATTTATTAAAAACATGGTACAATTTTTATTTATGAGCAGGATACTTAAAACTACACAATCTTGGTATTCGTATAGCAAATTTTGATTTATAGCTATATAGTTTAATGGTATTTGCTCCTTTATTTTCTATAACTGAAAAAAGAAGATATGCTGAGTCTGTAATACGATTTCTATCAGATCTTCAAAACAACCCACAATTGCTTCAAGATCTTAGAGCAATACCCTTAATAAATATAATACAAAAAGACCATTATCTTGCTTATGATGAGACTTTGGAAATATTCGGAGTAAAGTTTATAAAAGAGAATATAACTAGGCCATTAACTAATTTAGATAATTTGAGGCTAAATATTAAAGCAGTACAAGCAGAACATGATCGATTTGACTTGTTGGTTTTAGAATTTGCTGAAAATCCATTAGTAAGAACAAGTTCACGATCTGTTATAAATCGTCAAGAAGTTCTTTGGGAATTAATTAATAAACTTAAAAATACATTTAGTAGCCCAGAACCAGAATCACATGATTTATTCACAGTAACTACACAATTAACACATGATAGATACTTCCGTATGTTTAATTGTTACCAGTCTGGAATTAAAAGAATAAATGATCTTGTTGCACAGAATATTGCTAATACTGCTTTACAAGTAAAAAAAGGACGAAAAAAATAAGACTTACTGCCTATGAAGTTAACAAAAGAGACAAAACGTTTAAAAATAAATACTGCCAATACAATAGAAACAATAACAGAAAATAGTTCTGAGCAAGCTCCAGAACTACTTGATATGGAAATCGATAATGAAGATAACTTACAATCAACATCATCTTCAAGATCTATACTATGTACAAAACATACAAAACATATAACTACGGCTGCTGAAAAAAAGATTTTAAAAGATCTAGAAAAATATAAAGAATCCAACGTATTACCTGGACCATTTGTCACTAAACTAAAAAGAAAATTGTCACTATATAATGAGTATTGGACTTCAAAAAGAATCTATGATAGATGATATAATCGGTATAAATGAGCATAGAAAGTACTAGGAACTAGAAAGCATGTGAGTCTGAAGCATTAAATTTTACAATATAATTATTATTAAGTAAATCTACTTATTACTAAAATTTAAATTAAAAAGGTTACTTTTTATTTTATTTATTTAATTTTTAATTATAACACTATAATTTTTTTATTTTAATTATTATATAATTTTTATTTATTAATTTATTTTAAACTAATATTATTTTTAAGTTATTATATTTTTTAAAAAAATTAATCTTTTATTAATTTTTAAATTATTATATTTTTTTAAAAAAATTAATCTTTTATTAATTTTTAAATTATTATTTTAACTTACTATATTTATATCTATTATACCAATTTAACTACAGTCATCCCTCCATATAGTCACCTCTCATATAATCATATCATATGTAATCACATTTTTATTTTGGCCAAACTATAATTTAATTTATAAGAAAAAAACCTCCATATAAGCACAACCTCTCAATAAGTACATTTTTAAAAAAAGTTACTATGTGCCCAACTGAGTAATTGTATGGGAGGATAACTGTATTATATTTATATCTAAATCTAATTATTAACAAATCTAACTATTGTGCCTATACCCAAATCTAACTACTATTTTATGTCTCAAATAAACTATTGTATTGCATTCTAAGATCCCTTACACCGTTTTACAGGCAAATTTGTCTGTATCTAATTAAATTGACATATATAACTATATATATATATATAGCATTATATAATTATTTGGTATAAAAATAATTCGAAATATCACACATTTGTATTCCGAAATAATGCAAAGGTGCTCAAAATAATCTGCAAATATGGTAGTTGCAATTACTCAAATCTAACTATCATACAATGTCTCAAATCTAGCAATTGTGCTATATGCCAAATCCAATTATCAGTGCTATATTTTGAATCTAATCATCATGTTATACTGGGAGTTCTGTGTATTATGTAAATCAAAACTATATGTGGTCATATAATAAAATTTATTAATGAAGATTTTTTAATTATAGTAAAATTTTAAATAGATACATAGCACTAATAGTTCGATGAATTTGGATAAATTTTGCAAGAACTAGTATTATGTCTCTATGAATAAAGCTATAGAGCCATTTCTTTAGAAAAGAAACCAAATTATATTTTCTCTTTAGCTTTGTTCGTAGACATAATACTAGTCTTTGCAAAATTTTATCCAATTTTATCAAACCGTTAGAGCTGTGCATCTATTTAAGATTTTGTTATAATTACTATAAAATTATTATCTAGCTAAAAAATTTTCATTAATAAATTTTATTATGACAACATATAGTTTTGATTTATATAGTACACCACACTCCTAATGTTACACCCAAATCTAATCATTATGCTATTTAACTTCTATATCTTAAAATTATCATATTATCTGATTCAATTTTTAGCAATCTAGTAAATCGTCAGATGTGTCATCATATTTGCCTACAGTGCACTTCAAGAGCTGGACCACTTTATTCCGTCCAGACACATGGCTCAATTTTTTCAGGCTGTATGATTTTCGGTCTAGAAATAGTATCCAAGACAAAGGCAGGGTGTCCAGTACTGGATAGGGCAATTCGGTCTCCAAAGGTTCTTTCAGACTTCGTTGTTGGTATCTATTTAATAATTTAAAATAGTAATAATTTCTTCAAGTTAGCAATTGATTTATTATACCATTTCATTATATAATTAATTTCACTTCTATGTTAAATCTTTATCATAATTGCTTGCAGCAAATCTATTTAATAAATTAAAATAATTAAAATTTCTTCAAGTTAGCGATTAATTCGCTATACCTTTTCACTATATAATTAATTCACTTCTATATCTTTATTATCTGGTTTGATTTCTAGCAATCTAGATAGATCTTCAAATGCATTATCATATTGCTCACAGCGAATCTATAATAAATTAAAATAATTAAAATTTCTTCAAGTTAGCGATTAATTTGCTATACCTTTTCACTATATAATTAATTTACTTCTATGCCTTTATTATCTAGTTCGATTTTTAGCAATCTAGTTAAATCTTCTGATGTGTTATTATATTTTCCCACAGCACACTTGGTATCTATTTAATAAATTAAATAATAATAATTTCTCTAAGTTAGCAATTGATTTATTATATCATTTCATTATATAATTAATTTCACTTCTATGTTAAATCTTCATCATAATTGCTCGCAGCAAATCTATTTAATAAATTAAAATAATTAAAATTTCTTCAAGTTAGAGATTAATTCACTACCTTTTTACTATATAATTAATTTCACTTCTATACTCTTATTATCTGGTTCAATTTCTAGCAATCTAGTAAAATCTTTAAATGCATCATCATATTTGCTCGCAATGAATCTATAATAAATTAAAATAATTAAAATTTCTTCAAGTTAGCGATTAATTCGCTATACCTTTTCACCATATAATTAATTTACTTCTATACCTTTATTACATCAGCAAAAATAAATAGGTGTAAATCTCCGCAAGTTTTTACGCGAGCGTAAACTTACGAAAATTTACGATTAGTT